CCCCCCCCCAAATTCTTGCTTAATGATTTTGAGAAATATGTTCGTGACAATATTTCTTATTTCTCATGTCTCATGTCTCATTTATTAGGAATGATGTCAAACCTACTACCAGACTTTAGAAACATAAAGTTCTTTGAGTTAGTTCTATGCATTTACAATAAGATATTGTTGGGTTTTGTTCTTTTTTTCTATTAGCTTTTAAATATTGCACTATATTTTATCTGTCTAGGAGAGAAATCTTGAGAAAAGATTCTCATTTTTGTATTTAAACTTGCAAAACTCATTGTCATTCTGACATGTTGTCTGCTTGTTGACAAAAATACATAGGGGTTACTTACATTACTCACCATGCAAATTTTTGCTCTCTCCATTAGAGGTTACAGATATATTCTTCCCAAGGTGTGTGGCTTCCATTGGATCACTATGAATGAATACCAAAACTTGTGGTGTTGAAGCAAAATGGATAATGAGGGGAGGAAGGGACCCCAAAGCAAAGGAGCAGAGGTAACATAGTTTTGGAAATAAAGTATTTTAGATAATGTTTAGAGTTTGGGTACAAAAATGGGAGCCAATCATCATAGTTCATTTACTTTTGGAATGAGAATAGAAAAGAAAGGGAAAATGGAGTCTAGAAATTGGAGGTGTTGTCATTTATTTGTTTGGTTTTGTTGTCAAATGGATGGGAGGCAATGTTCAGAAAGATCAGAGAAATATGTCTGTGAAACCAAACAGAGAGAGAGAGAGAGAGAGAGTTAGTTCATTGGCAATTCTCTTACCCATATACGAGCAGACCATTTTATTTAATGCCATAGAGACCATAAAACAAGATGATTGTCCCTCTTTCTCTCTCTCTCTCTCTACAGAGGACCATTTCCATTTCTCTCTCTACAAAGGTAGACCAATTCTAGACATAACAAGAACAAGTAGGCCTCTCAACCCTAGCCATCCATCCATCCTTTCATCTCCCAGTTGGAACTCACAAATCCATATATTTAATGCCCATTCTCTCTCTCTCTCTCTCTGTGAGAGTAGGAACAACTGACCCATCATAATTTTAAAAATGGAAATGGATTTGAAAGTGACCATTGGGGGACAATACCAGCCATGTGATAGTGAGAGAAAGAGATGGAACTTGGGGGGGGAGGGGGTGTTGGGGTCTGAGGGAGAGGGCAGTTTGGTCATTGAGTGAAAAAAATTATTGAACGTAGCCGCCACATCCCACGCTTCGTTTCCATCCGATGCATGGTCGAACTAAAAGTTATGAACTTTTTTATACATTCAATGGTTTAAAATCTCCTACTAAGTTGTTCGAGCAAATCTATACAAAACTTTACTTTTTTCTAGGTAATGTTTGACTGTAGCAAGTAAATATTCTTCAAAGTATTCATTACACTGTGTTTATCTAGTCTTGACCACTGAACGTACTCACTACTCGACAACAAGGAGAGAGTTTTTAGAGAGACAAGAAAAGAAGTAGAGAAATGTTTAAGCGTTATACGTTTTTTCTCATTGTCTGTTGTGTATTGAGTTGAGTTGTTGTGGATAACATCTTAAGGGGACACTGCTTGGAGTTGAAGCAATAACTCCAAGAAAAAAGAGGTAAATTTTGATTCCAAATAAGAAGAGTAAAATGGATTCTTTAAATGAAAGAAACAAACATATAATAGAAAGGTGAAAAAGTAAAGGTCTTTATTCCAATCATGGTTAGGTGAAAGCATTCATTCCACACAAATAACAACAATAATAATCCCATCAAATTCCTCTTTGTAATTATCAAACCTTTTACCCTATCTTTTCATTATCTAGAAGTTTATCAAGAATTTTATTTTCGACAATATCTACTTGGGGCGCGAGCTTTTTTTTGCTGAAATGCCCGAACATTCTATTTTAGGCTATGAACTGTATATGAAAACTATCTCAATCTTCGTTATTAAGCAGACAAACATCTAAAGTTACAGGTAAGCTGACTAAAACCAGTTATTTGAAAACTAACCAAACCACAACATTTGAAGTATTAGAGATTGAAATGAAATTATTACGAACGATTTTAAGAGTCGAAGATATATTTACTGCATTATCACAATTTGACTACTCAAAAATATATTTATTAGCCTTTTTGATTTCATGTCATTGTCGGTATGATACTCAAAATCTACTATGAACCTAACAAGATCTTGGATGAAGTAATTAGAAGGGATCAAAATGATTTTCTTATTGACTTTAGTCCCTTTTTTTTTTTTTTGGTTAATTTGCTAAATCTTCCCCTATTGACTTCTAATCCCAATTATGATCCTAATTGTAATGATCTTTGAGATTGTTTATGTTTGTTTGTTGCCTTTAGCTGGAATCATTTCTATAACTCTTATAATAATATGCCTTTTGTGGCTCTTAATGAAAAGGAAAAAAGGTAAATTATTTATTTATTCTTTGTCCTTATAATACTGAAGTCCAGTTATTTATTGATTTTCTATTTAAGAAGTCATTCGATTTAAAATTTTATTTGTACAAACTTGAAAGTTCATGGCGTCAACTTAAAAGTTTAGAGACTATACTTGTAATTTGATGGGTTTTTTAGAACAGGTATGCTTGATATTGTAACATTGGTTTTTTAACACGTCTTTAAAAAAAGTTCAAGTCTTCAGCGTATTTGACTATATTTTGAGTACGAGGGCGCTTGATATCATACATGGTTATATTTTGAGTTCAACAACACATGAGATAGACAAATTTGTACCTCTATCATCTTAAAGAACCAAATGAGCTATACTCAAGTTGACAAAACGGTATTAATCTACAGAGTGAATATACAACTCGACCTCGTGCAATAAGAGAGACAAAAGATAGTGTTTTAAGCGAGTAGAACATGAAAAGAAAAAAAGGTAAAATATCTAGAAAGAAAAGAAAGGGTATCCATCTTGATCATAGTCCCCACTATGTTGCTTTCTTGTTCAACTTATCCATTTCATATAAGTAAATAAATGATGTGGTTTTGGTTTGTGAAGAAGTAGTTAAGAGCTTTAAACTGCTGCCAACCTGCGCAATGAAAGGTCCATTGAAAAGGAGGGAAAAAAAGGTGTGTTTAGCTGTGATTTGGTAGATAACAATATTGAAAGTGGCTTTGGATTCCAGTTAAGACAACCTTTTTTCAATATATATAGTCTTGTGATTTGATTATATTGGACTTAAGAGTCGATATGTCCCCACACAACAGCTGGTTTCAAGTAACAATCTATCTTCCCCACAAGTTACGCGATTTAGCTTATCATAATATCATCCTAAATGGGTCCCTTTCATTCATTCATTCAAAAGCTTTTCCAGCTATACTTGAAAGCAACTCGTTCAAAACTGTTCCCCGTTTTCTGTTTGGTTGATGAGAAAATGTAGGAAGAAAACGAGTATGTCAGCATCTTCGGTTCTAACGCCTTCCTAACCCTGCAAGCGAGTTCAAGTCCCTAACAACCCAAGCTCATCGCTAACAGATATTGTCCTATTTGAGTTTTCCCTTACGACTTCCCCTCAAGGTTTTTAGAACGTGTCTGATAGGGAGAGGTTTCCACACTGTTCCCCTCTCCAACCGATGTGGGATCTTATAATCTACCCCCCTTTGGGGCCCAAGGTCCTCCTAGAACACCGCTAGGTGTCCACCCTCTTCAGGGTTCAACGTCTTCGCTGACATATTGTCTGGTATCTAGCTCTAATACCATTTGCCCTCTTTGGACTTTCTCTTACGAACTTTCCCATCAAGGTTCTTAAAACGCATCTACTAGGAAAAAGTTTCTACACTCTTGTAAAAAATGTTTTGTTCCCCTCTCCAACCAAAATGGGATCTCTCACATTCTTTCTTTAGTCGAAAGCTATCAACCACATTATGACGGTCTAAAACAAGAACAGAAGGAGAGAGAGAGAGAGAGAGAGGCAGATCAAAGAAGAGAGAGACTTGTCTAAGAGGAACAATGATAACATTTATGATTTATGAGTAGTAATAATACAAATGGTTGGATTGAATGTCAGAACTTTTCAATCTTTTTCCAACACTACTTTTACAATGGCTATTAAAAGCATAAATGTGGTCTGATAAAAAATGAGGCCACCACCAGTTTTCGCTGCCAATTAGTTCTAGCATTATACAGAGAGGAATTCTTGAAAGAACGCTCCAAAAGAATGAGTGGCTGACACATAATTTTCAGAAAGAACCAAAAAGAAGAAAGAATGGAACTGGAATCCCTCTCTATGTACAGAAAAAGCCTCTCTCACCTTGGGGAGGCCGCCATGGAATTCAGCAGTTTCTGTTCTGGAGTCTTTTACCGTTCACTTTTCATCTCATCTGCAGCCATAGAGCCTATTCCAGAACATAAATTTTTGGATTCAGTTCAGAGATTTAACCAAAACGCTTTCAAATTCAGTTTAGTGATCTAATCAAACCCAAATAGCTACAAATTCTGTGGTTTTCTGTGTTTATCTTACCATTAGAAATCTGCAGCTGGTTTTGTCCATAACCCATTTGAACTACGGTGTGGAGTTCATCCTCCCAGAACTTTGAAATCTGATCAATTTAGAGAGAACCCTTTAGAATATACTGCAAAGAAATATCAGTTTCAACACTTTTGACGACACAGATTAGCTATTTACTTGGATTCCGTTCCCAACTTCGTTGTATCCACTCGGTATTTGTGCGCTTAGATTTCTTGGCTGATCACTTGATGAGGCAACTGAGAATTGCTTCTCTGTCCCATTAGAAATGCTACTATGAAGAGGAGGCATGTGCATAGATTGATAGTCATATGCAAATGCGGGCATGGATGAATCCATAGGGTAAACCGTTAGCGACGACGAACCGGGACCTTTGAAGATCTGAAATATGCAGCAAATCACACAAGATAAGGCATAATCCCAGAGAGTGTTTCACTAAATATGCAGTAAAAATGATGCTCTGTGCTTCACTTACATCCTTTGGCAAAAGGGTCTCCATGTTCAAATCCATCCTTGGATTGACAGTGGTCAATTTCATTGAAAGAAACTGCATCAAATCCAACACAACTTAGAAGACTACATACATTTATACAGAAATGTGGCAGATCTTTTGCATGTTTGGTGATTACCTCAACTTGGCGCTGCAAAGACTGAACATAGTTTATGATTTCATCAAGCATGACAGCCTTCCCAGTTACCTATGATAAAAAAAATGCAACTCTTAACTTTAGAACAATGTTCAGGCTTAAAAATTTCAAACTCAGGCAGAAGAATTGTAAATTTAAAGCACCTTATTGCAACTGGGGACGAGATCTTGAAGAAACTTCATCCGTTTGCTGATTTTCTCTCGTCGGACCTGCACGAGCAAGAACACGAAGAACGCAATTGTGAGTACTTAAATCATATTGGAGTGCAGAAGGATTGATATACAGAGAATTTGTGGTTTAGCTCATACTCTTTCAGCCAAACTGTGGCTATCTGTTGCTTGACCCCTTCCAGCTCTGACATGGATATAATCCTTCGGAGGCTCTGGAGGCTTTGAATTGTCATTCTTTTGCTTAGGATTTGCTACTCCTAAAGCTTTTGAGCCATCTTTGGCCTCTGCCTTCCCTTTTGCAGCATCAATCTCCTTCTTAGAAGCTTCATCTGGTTTGATTTTCTTTCCATTTGATTCATGCTTCTCTCCTGCAACCTGAAACAAGAATATGCATTCCCATTTGTTTACACTAAGTTCATCAACAGATGCAGAATTTGACTCAAAATTTGCAAATATACCTTCAAATCTTTTGCTTGTCCAGTGAGAATTGATTTCCTTTTCCTAGTGTTGATTTCTGGTTTACCTTTGAAACCCAATTCCCCACTTGTAATCTGTTCGGAAACCGACGATCCCTCCGGTGAATCGCCGGTGTTTTCAGGGGTCGAAGACCTCAAAAACCTGTTCAGTACCTTCTTGTTAGGGATTCTCATGGAATTCCCCTTCTGGATTGGGCTTTGCTCGCCTTCTTGAACCCCCATTTGGGATCCAATTCCACCAATGTAGAAGGATTTGTTACTTGAAACTCTGGATAGCTTTCCAGATTCCATCCCAGCTCCCAATTCTAGGGTTTCATTAGAACTCAAGTGGCCATTCAAGCCCGCAAGATTCCTGTTCCCAAAGCAAGAAAATCTCGCAGCCCTCTCAGTAAACCCAGGATCAGCCGAAAATGGAGCCAGATTTTGATGAAGGGGAATCAAATTCCCTCCGATCGAAGACAAATTGAGCTTGGGAGGAGAATTCAAAGGCGTGTTGTAACAAGAAGTGTTCGTACTGTTATTGTTCGTTCCACCAATGTAAGAATGAGGCGAAATCTCACCAGAATTGCAAATACTCCCAAGCCTTCCGATCAATTCTCGCATCATCAAGTTGTCTCCACCTCCACCGCCACCGCCGATAACATTTCCAGCGTGAGAATTCACCGGAGAAGACACAATTGAACTCAAAGTAGACTCAAAGAGATCGCTCTGATCCATCGAATTCTCCCAATTGGGAGTAAACAACCCACTCGAATTCAACTCATTAGGTTGAATTTCCATCCCAGAAAAACCGCATCCATCGTTCATAAAGAACTCGTTCTCCATATCGATCAAGAACACAAAATTCAGAGAAAAACTCGAAACCCCAGATGAAAAATCAACAAAAAAAAACCCTAGCCACAAACTTTCTCCGCAAGAAAAAAAGAAAAACAAACAATCGCAGAGGTGAAGAAGCAGCAATGATGAAATAATTTCTTTGTTAGTTTGTGGGCTCGAAATGAAGAAGATTAAAAACAACAAAAAACAGAGAATACAGAGGAGAGAGAGAGAGAGAGAGTTGGAGTGAGAAATGTGGGGAAGTGGAGGAGAAGCAACATAGATAAAGGGAAGGAAATGTCTGTTTGACTTTTTTTCCTTTTTAAATAAAATTAAAAAAAAAATCTTTTTAAAATAAATAAAAATATTACAATAATATTAAATCATAATTTATTGTTACTCAGTTGTGTAGCCATATAAATTTTTTTAATTGAAATTCACACTACAATATCCATATAAAAATACGCCATATTTTATTTGAATACGAGTACACTTCGACCCTCGTTCAAATTTTAGCTTTAAACCTTTACTCTCGTAATTTCGTAATCATTATCTAAGCATAATTTAGTAACTATGACACAAATTAGCGTCTCGAATAGTTCGAGGTTTAAATTTCTACTCTCGCCATCATCGTTTGAGCCTAACTTAATGGATAAGACATCAGTTATTATATTAAAAGTCGATGGTATTATGATTGAGCATACTTCCGTAACCGTTAAACTAATAAAATTATAAATTATTATTTACAAATTTTGACACGTCTAATTACATCATGTCAATATCTGTACTATCAATATGTTCTTTTTCAGTGACTCAAACATAAAAATTTCAGTGGCTCAAATATGTTGGGTAGACCGTCACCCAACCAATACCCTATTTTTGGGTCAAGTGTCTGAGGGTTCTAATTATAATTATATATCATATAGGTTAATAATTAAAATATTATAAAACTCAAATATTTTTTAAAGCTACAACTTATCACTATTTTAAATATCAAATATATTTTACTATTCGTATTAATCTTAGAAATAGGGTAAAGTTGGGTTGGATTGTAACTCTATTTTTGAGTTAGTCGAGTTTATTCGAAGAAAAATATGTCAGCACTCCAATCAAACTGAACTTTTAATTTTCTAAAAATTCAATTCAATCCCATTCGAACCTAACCCAACTTATGATAGTCGGATATCAAGACGCGGACGAATAAACCCTTCATCAAAATATTAAAAAAGTAAACGCAAATGCATTTGGATGCATTCCATTTGAATGTGCATTTGCAGAGGATATTTCATTTATGTCAAAATCCGACCAACTCCATCTCTTTTATTTATTTATATTATTATTATTATTATTATTATTATTATTGCAATTTTAAACTTATCTTGAGATCTCAAAGAGTATCTGTCGGCAACCCATAATTAAATTAATCAATAAAAAATATTTTCATTTATATTGTAAAAAGAATTACCTTGAAAATAAAAATTGGCAGGGGTAATATAGTAATTTAACCAAAGATAAATAACAAGTTCTAAATTGAATATAAATTAAACAAATAATAATAATTGTAACGAGAGAGAAGCTTCCCCAGTGGATCTTAACGTGCGCTTCAATCATTGAAAAGCGTCCACTTATTACCATTTTGCCCCTGGCAAAACCGGTGACCTTCGTCGGTTACGTGTCGGAATTTCATTGGGTGATGTACACGATGGTTTAAAAATAATTAACTATTATTTGTCAGGGATTTAATTATTAATTATTATAATCTGACAAATTGCAGAGTTTTATTTGTATTTATTGGAAATAATTTGGAGAATTATAATTATAATTATAATTTGGTTGAAAAAGGAGAATCATTATGGCAGAGTAGCAGGTGGATTATAATCATTTGTTCATCCATTTTGTCTTTTTTTTTTTTTTTTTTTTTTTTTAATTTTATTTTATTTCCGTAAAAATAAATAAATAAATAAATTGGGTAAGACATTTTTCAAAATCACCGACTTATTATTATTATTATTATTATTATTATTAAAAGAATTAGGTGACGAGAATAAAATTGAAGAATGAAAAATTACTATATATACTGATTATTTTATCTGTAAATATTTTAAAAAATTATGTGAGCTATAACAAAATATGCCAAAAAATATTTTAAAATAAGTCAAATAAATAACAAAACTATTTTAAAATAAGTCAAATAAATAACAGTGATTATGTCAGAGAAGGGTGACAAGTGTCAAATATGGATTGCAAATCTTAATTTACATTTTGTAATTGTTGGAGGGTTCATCATACTCCTGATAATCATTAGATATAAATTTATACACGGTTGTTAATCATAGTAATCTTAAAAAAATTTAAGGTCGAATTAAAATAACTATTAATTCTTTAAAATTTTAATTTTTAACAATTTTTTCGAATNTTTTTTTTTTTTTTTTTTTTTTTTTTTTTTTTTTTTTTTTTTTAATTTTATTTTATTTCCGTAAAAATAAATAAATAAATAAATTGGGTAAGACATTTTTCAAAATCACCGACTTATTATTATTATTATTATTATTATTATTAAAAGAATTAGGTGACGAGAATAAAATTGAAGAATGAAAAATTACTATATATACTGATTATTTTATCTGTAAATATTTTAAAAAATTATGTGAGCTATAACAAAATATGCCAAAAAATATTTTAAAATAAGTCAAATAAATAACAAAACTATTTTAAAATAAGTCAAATAAATAACAGTGATTATGTCAGAGAAGGGTGACAAGTGTCAAATATGGATTGCAAATCTTAATTTACATTTTGTAATTGTTGGAGGGTTCATCATACTCCTGATAATCATTAGATATAAATTTATACACGGTTGTTAATCATAGTAATCTTAAAAAAATTTAAGGTCGAATTAAAATAACTATTAATTCTTTAAAATTTTAATTTTTAACAATTTTTTCGAATTACTTTCAAATGTATAATAATTTAGTCCCAGTTATAAAAAAAGTAATTGAAAATTAATTTTTTTTTTTTACTAAGATAAATTAATTCAGGATTAAATATATTTTTATAAATCACAAAAGATTTAATTTAATTTAATTTAATTAAAATTGATATTTAATTTTGTTTTACGTAGGAATTAAATGGTTGTAAATTTTAATGGGCTAATTTGTCTTCCAAAGCCCACGTTGGTCGGTTGCCTTTGAAAAGGCCCAAACAATGGGCCCATTAGTTTTCCAAAACCCACGTGGGCCGGTTGCCTATAAAAAGGCCCAAACAACGGATCCCATGTTTATCTTATTTTCCTTTCCTTCTCCACTGCGTCCCTTTTTATTATTTCCAGTTGTAGTCGAAGCTTTTGCCCAACGACTGTGAAGAGTTTCAGAGATCTTGCTGCTGAGCAGCGCTTCAGCAGAATCGCCATTTCAATCAGAAAATCGTCGGATTCAGCCTTTTAGGCTCCGGCGACAATCCTCATCATGGTCGCTTCCTCGGTTCTTATGGTGTGTATAAACCTATTACTTCTTTTCTGAACTTCGCCCTATTGATTTTGCCAACTTTTTTCCCGTTTGGGTTGTTTTTAATTGCTCCTTGTCACTGTTTCAGGTGGCTGAGAAGCCTAGCATTGCGCTCTCGATTGCTTCTGCACTCTCGCACGGCCAAGTAAGTTGTAGAGGAACTTTTTGATACTTGTAGGATTTTAAGATTTGAGGTGGGTGATTACTGTGGAATTTTGAATTCATTTCTAAGTACCTTGTGCCGTTTTCATTATCCTGAAAGGCTTAGATAGTAGATTATACAGGTTTTAGAACACAAAAAACGGTTCTCACTGGGAAGAGTTGATTAGCTTTCATAGGATAGCTTGCAAAAGCCACCCTTAAAATTTGTAATTCGATGTATATTAGCATGCTTGTATCACTTTACTTATTTCAGGATATGTAATTTGTGTTGGATCATGAAAGTCCCACATCGGCTAATTTAGGGAATGATCATGAGTTTATAAGTGAGGAATACTAACTCCATTGGTATGAGGCCTTTTGGGAAGCCCAAAGCAAAGCCATGAGAGCTTATGCTCAAAGTGGACAATATCATACCATTGTGGAGAGTCGTGTTCGTCTAACAATTTGAACATTACCTAATGTATGATTCTAGCATGTAAGGTAGAAAGCCTGGCATAGCATGCTTGTATCACTTTGCTTCTTTTTTCTTTTTTCTTTTTTAATATTGGCTTCTTTTAGATTGAGTTGTTTTTTACTTTTTTTTTTGTTGATATTTTTGGGCTATAGAGAATTGTGTGTTTTTTTTTGGTTTTTTGGGCTGTTTCACGTCTCCAAGTAGGAGTTTTGTACTTTTTCATTTTATTGATGAAAAGTATTGTTTCCTTGTCGAGGAAAAAACAATATTAAGAAGTAATATTGATTACTGACATATAATCTCAACATATTAATGTTACAGATGTCTACAAGAAAGGGTAGCACAGAGGTACATGAATTCGATGGGAGATTTCTTGGGCATCATGCCCATTACAAAGTGACATCGGTTATCGGACATGTTTTCAGGTGCCTTTTCATTTAATTACATCTAGAGTTGATGTGAATGTGATTATGTTACCTTAAATATTATGTATGTGCAAAGAACGTGAAGACTGAAGAAGCTTTTATTGTTTTTGCAACAATCAATAGGTCCAAATTTTAAAGGTGTCTGTGAGATTCACATGCAATTAATGACTTTGATGTGATAGTTGCAGTTGCAAGTTTTGCCGTACTTGGCTTAACCTATGGTGAACAAATTTTTGTTTGTTAATTGCATTGCACTTTATGTTTACTGACATTTTCAACTTAAGATAATTTTAGCTTTCTAACCTGTCTTTTACAATTGTGCATTCTTTTCCTTCATCACTTCAACACATGTTTTAATATCATTCTTGAACTTGGAATCTTGGATGTTTTGTAGCTGTCTATTAACATATGATTGGAATCTCTATGCATTAAATGATTGTCTGTCCAAAAAGTCTTCTCTTGTTAAAAAAGAAAAAAGATTCTGTCCTTGAGACCAAGGGACTGGGCATGGTGTTTTTTCACTGATATTATGGGGATTTTATGGAAATCAGTTGATAACAAGCAAGATTTATTTATTTACATAATTAACGATAACAAGCAAGAAATAGAGGCTGAAAGAAAGTAGTTGTAATATATGGCGTCCTTGAGCCCAAGTCTGGGCATGATCTTTCAAGCATGTATTTCGTTGAATTTGTATATTTCCTTTTCATGCCTTTC